GCTTGTGGAAGCTCCTTCCTGAAAAAATGTCCTCATGACTCACCCAACGGCTGCGGATAAGTTTGTCAAAGATACCACGCCTTTGGTTCTGGTGATACGACGATCTTTGGAGCTTCTGCAGCGTTGGTGATGTAGGGATGCAACGGTCAATGCGCTAGCGTGACATTCCCTTTGGATAGAAAGTCAGGGAAGCAGTTCTTTCCATGATCTTCTGGCACAAAAGCCAAATCCGCAACTTCCGGGCTTGGAAAGAGCTGAAGCAACTTCTTTCAAATGCACGCCTGTCCTTATCTTGTGCTGTAGTGCACTCCAAAAACAGGAGGACGTAAGGATATATGAGCAGCCGCTTCTATTTGGTGTTGACTAAAGTAATCTGAACTACGACAGGCTCTATTTGTTTGTCCAACACCAGTATTTGCTGGTGGACGAGATAGGGCCCCCAAATAAATGAGATACTTTTGCTTGATGTCACTAAAGTAGTCTGAACCAGATACTGTGACATGACCTCCTACTAAGGTGGTTTAAACGAGATAGGGCCCCAACCCAATAGATGGTGCAATTGAGTTTATGCCGCCGCTTATATGTATGCGTATCCGAAGGGAAGGGAATTCAACCCAGAATCGTGGTCTTTGTGGGAGAGCAGTCAACTTTCTCTATGGCTGCTGTAGATTGTAGTGTGACAGCACAGTTCTACCAGATCCACTTCGACCCAATAGAAGAACCGAAAAAGAGACCTGTCAACCCGGTCGGGCTGGTGAGATATTCAACATACACATCCCCTCCGTGGGTCTAAAGGTCGAGACTTCTCCTTCGGTTCCTCCGAGGTTTTGTTTCAACTCGGGCTGGGGTGCTCCAACCCGGCGCCCGGAGGCACCAAACTGTGACACGCAATTCATCAAAACGCCAGGGAAGAGTTTGATTTGGAGATTTGCAGATGTTTGCAGTAAATCAGAGAGAGGCCCGCCCCTGCAACCGTCCTAGGTGGTTGACCAGGGTCTGTCCAGGGTGGTTGACCACACTTGGTTCTGAGTAAATGCACGGTGATTTGGGGGGTCCATTGCGAAGTGTGTTGGCGATGGCGATAACCTAATCTAGTTGCAACCTCCCAATGCACCGTTCGAGCGCTGAAGTGGAACGCCATGTGTTTCTTGCCCCACTGCAATGGGACGTTTTTGAACCTTGCTTGGTTATGGGCGGGAAGAAAAAGAAAACTTGAGGTGATGATGAGAGCTGTTTGGCATGATTGCCAAGAGGACCTACCTTGAGTTAACAAACATCGGTACCCCCAATTTCTGTGATTTGCTTGACTTTGATGGACAGGTGGTCACGCCACGGTTTGGCGCGCCTTGGAAACAATAGCTGGGTGGGACAGGCCACTGTCTGTCTCTAAGTTGGAGGCCATCGCTTCTAGGCGGTTTGCTTGTTAAGGGATTGGCATTTTGAGTGAGGACAGGCATGTCACATCTGGGGGGAGGGGGGTAGTGATGTGGAGATGACCTGTTTTCATTTTTTGTCCTTGTTCGGGGTGTTGGCATCTTCATGCAACGTCCAACTACGTATGGGTTTCAAGCGCCTCTGTGTTTTGCTACGTCAAGTGCCTCTGAGATACCAAGAGCAATTCACCCTCTCGGCGTGGAACAACTTCGGAAAAGAGAGAGAACGAGAGAAAGACAAGGGAAGTGGGTGGAAAGAATATTGTTTTTTCACACGCGAATGTATTCATCATTCTTTGGGAAACCCCTCTGCTGGGGTCTGTCGTGGTCTGTCAGTTTTCATTGGGCTCTGAGGCTTACCAGCCGGAGCACAAAGAGGCAGGCTTCGACAATGCCATCGCAAGTCACTGCAGTGAACCTTCAGAATTTCTGGTGATTTTACAATCATTCTACATAGCTAATGTTTTTTCCTCTGCTCAGGGATGTCCTTGATGACCTTGATGAGACATATTTTCTACTTCCACGATGTTGATGGCAGCCTTTTTCTAGAATGGCAAGCGTGCTGCCAAATGGTGAAGATAGGTGTGTTCTATTTGGTCGCTGTTGGTGCGACGGGAACCTGTGATGTGTTCTTTAGATGCCAACGGGCTGCGAACAGACTAGTCAGACTTAATCGTTTGCTGCCCAACTTGCATCCGGCTTGGGTTTGAGAGGAAGCATGCTCTGAGGCGACGTAGCTATTTTGCAGAATAGGCGTGTATCCAGAAACTGTCTGCCAAAGGCGTCCCTTTGCTACGCTAAGTCGAGGCTCCTGGCATGGCATCTCCTCTGGGGCTTCCAGAGGCTGGAGCCCAAGTCACGGTGGCAGGGAAGTTCGTGGGCCAAGAGGAGAGTGTCACTATAGGGGCACCATACTCGAACTTAAAAACTGTCGATCAAATCATTTGAAGAACCCAACCGTTTGAGGGTTACCAAAGAGGCGATTTTGTGGTGTTTCTTCTGTCCAGAATGATCCATGTCCTTCCAAAAAAGAGCCGAAATCACGGGGGGTAAAAAGAAACGGGTACCTGTACCCCGTGCCTTGCCATTGGCACCAGCTCAACCCTCGAAGTCCTCTTCCGTGGATTCCGCGTTGGGTCGAAGGAGATGATGTGGCCGTTGCGGAAGCAAGGCCCGCTGGTCACGTCGATGGTCGGCGGAGTCGATGGGTCGTCGGGCTGAAGAACTCGGTGTTTGTAAGGTGTTAAGGGCCACGAGGTTTTTGGGGCCAGGTGACATTTTTGGGGTTTCGATCGAGGTTCAAGCAAGGGTGTGTTGTGCTCGATCTTGCCTGTTGGGTGTGCCTTCCACCATTTGAGTGCCATGTGCTGCGAATGCTTCACAAAAGTTCGGTGGCGCGGATCATTTGTCAATATATTTGGGTCTCGAACATATGGGGAAGCATTCCAGCCCGATGGCTAGCATGCTATAGTATAAAGCACTCGTGCGGACAGTCAAGCCACTTCAGTGCTGAGTGCAATGCCACCGGTTCAGAGAACAACAACTACACTACGCCCCAAAAGATCACTGGATAATAGTGAACTTCAAGGCTATAAAGGAAAAACTAATAGCCTTGGAGGCCGTCGCTATTAAGTTGGAAGTTGGAGGCCATCACTATTAGGCTAAGTTAGCTTCTTTTTTTGATCTATTTCTTAAAATCTCACTGGACCTTTAAACCCTCCCTGGGGTCAAAACACATGAGCTCCGCCTCTTGGCAGGCAGCGCTTCATCAGTGAGCACCGTGGCCACTGAGCGGTGTCCTCGGTGGAGTGGCGCGTGGTGTGGAGGGTGACTTTTTCCCAACAGGTCAAGTGAGTCATCGCTTTGTAGTGCTAATATACTGTAGATTCAGGAATATTAAGCAATAAACAGGAATGCTAAGCCATAGAATCCTATGGCATCTTTTTGCTTAGAACATGCTGATCACTTTTGCCCATTGTTTCAGGAATGTGAGGGTGAGCCCCCTCTCAGTCTTTAGATATGTTTGGATGCAGCGATGCCCTTACTCCATCCTTTCCTTGCATAAGTAAGAGAAATGCTCTTACCTTTGATCTGACAACAAGCAGTTAACAGACCAACTCTGATAGCATCGGATATCGACTTCCAACAACTGCCAAGTCATTTCCATGCTTTTGTGCTGGTCAATTTTTTTTAATGCAAAGTCTCAATTTCACCGTTCTATATATAGAAAACGAAGCCAGCAGCCAACTTCCGAAGATAAGCCCAGCCCCCACAATGACTGTGCACGAGCGCACGAGTGCACGGTACTAGAACTAATGGTACGAGGCTTTGCGCTTTCCAGATTCATGCAGAACTTGCAAGTTGACAGTGAAGAAACTTACAAGAAGCTTAGTTTCTACTGTTGACTGTTAACTGTTTCTACTAAGTTCTAAGTTAACTGCTTAGCACTTCTACTGTGAACTGTTAACTTCTGGTAGTTTCTTCTTCCTGAGCTTTTTCTGACACAGACATGCGTGAGCAAATGACCCTCAGTGGACCCAAAATAACAAAGCTTCGGCAAAGTATGCATGTGGCCTCACAAAGTATGCGTAACAAAGTCTCCGGGTTGATATGCATGTGGCCTCTTAGGCAGATGTTCACACTGCGACCTATTCAACAGACTAAGGGACTGGTGACCGTGATTGGCAGAGGCAGGATGTGTCGGACAGAAAGAGATTGTGGGTGATTTGGGTGTTTGACAATGGGGGGTCTTCTTTTCTTAGGCCTTCAGCTCCGTCACACGGTGATTTTTCGGTGCTGAAAGTGTTTCTTCAGTCAAAGCACGGCCAACGATGCTCAGCCCACGATGCTCAGGCCAATTGCGTCTGTTTAGTCCCCGCCGCCCGTGCGGGCGCGTAGATGAAGTCCGGGGCCGGGCGCGAACGGTGGCATCCTTCTTGATGATCAATTTTTGTAGATGTCTTGAGACTTTGGACAGTTAATTTGCATTGCTTTGACACAGCAAGTACCTGGTACCATTAGCTCGGTAGTCTGACAGGAGGTGTTCTATGCTTACTTGATGCACCTTTGCTCCATGGCCCCGACTTCAGAGGGCATAGCCCCAACCGAAGATGGACAGTCGGCTGGGCCGCCCAAGCCAAATGCCAACGTAGAAGAATCGACCCGTTTTGGGTTGCCGCATGACGGCTGAACAGCAGCCATCAGTGCACTTCACAGTCGCTTTAAAGAGTTTAAACGTTTCCCCGTGCGGAGCGTTTTGGTTGAGGAGTTCGGAAGGTACGTCAGGTACATCCGGTGAAGCCAAAGCATGCACATGCAGGGTCAGCCTTGGGTGCGTTCCCCCAATCATGCAGGTCTCACGCTTGATGGTGGCAAGACAGTGATACAACAAGAAGAATCCAGGTTCTCCAGCAACAAGGCTTGAACGTTCTGGTTATTCGAACTCTTACTCGAACTCTAGTTGCCATAGAACCGGCTGGAAGACATTCAGGTGCTTCACATCAATCCTTTTCGGTCCATGTTGCTGGCAGAGGAAGGCCGTTCGATGTCTTTTTTACGCTGGCGGCGTGTGGCTCAGCTGGACGCCCCCCGCGTACCGTACCCCATCTTGGTGACTTCGCACGAAACCCCTCAGTGCGCCGTTGCCATGGCCGCTCGCCAGCCTCGCACGGTGGACGCGTCCCATCGCGCGTGGTTGGGACGCGTCCCACGGAGGGTGGGAAGGAGGGTGGGAACGTATTTCCCCTGGTCTGCTGTAGAAAACGTTTTGGCCTTCATTGATCTGGAGACTGTAAAGCCACTATAATATGAGGACGCAGTTTTCCAAAAAGAATTGTTTTTTGGGGGTCCTTTACAACTGAACAGCCAAAGTGTTGGTTTGATGCAGCCTTTGGGGTGCAGCCATGCAATTTCTGATAAGACGTTTAGGACACGACATTATATAAATTTAGCTATTTACAGTATATTTGCCATGACATTTTTCATGTATCTTCATCTACATTCTATGATGCTTACCCTAGGCTTCCAACCATCATCAACTTTACAACAACATTGTTTTACTAAAGAAGTTTACACTACAACACCAGGTCGTTCCCCATTTTTATATGGTCTTGGAAGCCTAGGGCTTATAAACCTTAAGACTTGCATGTCTACAATGGTCCTAAGGTGTCTTATCATGGGCCAACCCGCCCACATATGTCGCCAGAGAAGCCTCCGGTCGCCAAGCTCCGCTCGGTGTCCTTGGTTCGAGGCTTTCTCCGCTTCCATGTTCTTCAAGCTCCTCGTCGCCAGCGTGCCGCTGGTGCGAGGACTTGTCCGAGAAGGAACTCAACAGGCCGGCAATTGGGACTCAACCGGCATGGATTTGGGGGGCCAAGAAGCTCGGTGCCTTCGACCCAATGATGCTTCACTTTAATCTCTCAGAGCCGCAGTTTACTCCAACTCAATGGTGTCAATGTTCACCCGGTTTGTTTTTTGCCATGTTCACCCACCCGTTACTTGCATCTTGCCCAAGTAATTGCTCACCCACGTTGATGTGCTCCATCCAGTGCCCATCTTCCGCCGCCATGCGACCGCACCAGCGCGAGGCTGGTCCAGTGGCAATCATCCCGCTGGACAAGCAGTGCGGCGCCACCGGGTCAAAGGACATGGCCAGCGGCCAGCTCTCCAGTGTCAACACTGACGTTGGAAAAAACAACAATAGAAACAATTGAAGACAGTTAGAGTTAGATGTTAGATGACACTGTCACTCGTACGTCAGTGAAAGAAAACCATCAAGATTAGATGTTCAGACGACACTGTGACACAGTCAGAGACCGATCACGTTGAGGCTGCCCTGTCACTTTCGTGGCTTAACAGATGCTCAATATGTTTCCTGCAAACACCAGACGAGGACCCCCCACTCACGAATTAACTTGCGCTTCGAAACAACTCCTTCCCAACCACTCCGTCCTACTATGTCCTACTACTTACTACTCCTTGTGTCGTTGTGCACTGGTTGGCTCCAACGAAAAGCATTAGACATTTCCACATCTTCAAGATATAGTAGCGTCCGATCGCTCCGTTCGAGTCGCGATGCCCAGCTCCGTTCGTTGCGAACCTCTTGTTACGTTCGCATGCTACCGCGCCCCGTTCGCATCGCTGCGTCTATCGTCGAGCCCCCGAGCGAGGTACGTGCCGGTGATCCGGAACGAGAAGATCGTCTCCTACAAGACCGCCTACTTCGGCAAGATCCACCTGGGCGTCGCCAGGCGCCGAGCGCGGCGTGCGCGGCGTGCGCGGCACGAGTGCACCGTGTGACGCGGCGCGTGGTGTTGGCAAGCTGAATGGAGCAACATCCGGGGTGGGGTGTGATTCAAATTGACGCGAATGGATTCCTGTGATTGGACAAAGCAAAGCTTCCTGTTTGGTTTGAAGAGCATATACCTAACTAACAGCAGATCATAGTTACTTCCAGATCAAGCCACACTGGATCCAGGGACTTCACGCTCTTCTTGTCACGCCTTTTTTTCCATCAAAAGCCCACTGGTGATGAGTCCCATCCGGTCCGCATGCGTTCCGTTTCGGGGCTGGGTCCAGGCAACAGACCTTCACCGTGGTCTTTGACACGGGCGACTCGCTTGGGTGGTTGGGACGGGCTGGGACGGGCAGTTGTTGAGAGGCTCTATACCTTCTTCATCATGAAGACTCTCATCGGCAATCAAGACTCAATGATGTAGAAGTTGAGGGAGGATGTCCCAGTTCGACCCCTTCGGTGAAAGATCAGACATCCGTTTTTGAACTCCCAATGATTCAACGCCCCACGCCCCGATGCATTCGTCGGTCGGAAGCACCACTCGCGAGCGCTCGCGCCCACCCGTCCGGTGGAGCTCCGCGCCCAGCAAGGCAGCGCCCACTTGTTCGTGCCATCGGCCACCTGCCAGAGCCCTGCATGCCGCTCGGGGCGAAGAGAAAGCAGAAACAAGAAAGAGAGAGAGAGAGAGAGATGAAGGAAGGGGAGAAGGGAGAATCGGTGTGTTTTGTCTTTATTCTTTTGTTCGATGTGAGGTGACTAGAGATGTTTCTATATCACTTGGGATATCTAGCTGATCTGCTGTTTCCGGATGCCTTGCACAACAGGACTCCAACTTCTGAGGGACATTGGATTGAGAGCTGTGCCGGATGTCCAAAATCATGGTAGACTGGAAGGTTTGATGCCTAGACAATCCATTGGATAAGGCTCTCTTCATTTTGCAGCATCTTGGGCTATCCACCGATCCAATCTGCGACTTCATCCAAGCCCTTGGGCTTGAGATCCTTTATTTAAGACCCGTGTTTAGGCCATTGTGGATGAAAACGCAAGAAGTACCATCTCCTACGGGATAAAGTGGAACGGATTGAACATGAGGTTAGCAGCACGGACCATTCTAGATGAGGATCTACATGTGCACCCCTTGGAGTGCTAGTGCCGGCTAGATATCAACCTGCTCCTTGTCTCCCGTGCTGAGGCACTCGGCACCGCCAGTTCTACCGTGCCTGTTCGTGCAGACATTGCGTTGGGGAAGAGCGAGTCGGGGGAAAAGTGTGGATGGATTCAAAGCCCGAAAGGAGTGCTTTTGCCGAGACTTCCTGGAAGATCATGTCAAAACGCCGGATGTCGTTTGGAAATGCCATCAAATGCCTGATTCCTATGTTCTTTTTTTACACAGAATTCTACCGGTAACAAAACAGCACGACCCTTCAGCCATCTTCAGCCTTTTTTCATGGCGACCTTCTCAGATCGATGTCTCCTCCTTAACATCACGTGTCCCACCGCCACCTCCGTGTCCCACGCTCAGCGCCATGCGCCAAGCCATGCGCCGTTCGCCCTCGCCGCCGAGCGCCGAGGTAATGCGTCGGACTCGGCGGTGGACTTGGACCACGACGGGAACCCCGTGCAGAAGAACGCCACGCGGCGCGATCAGGTGAACATTGCCTTCGGCACCGGCGAGGCTGGAGGGGTGGAGATGGAAGGGGGGAGGGGTTCCTGGAGGGTGATTGAACATTCTATTGAGAATTTGTTATTCTTTTTTGTTTTTTTGACTGGTATTCTTTTTTCGGACAGAGCCGTTAGATGAATTTGATGATGCCACGGCAGTGGCGAATCATCACAGAGAGTTTCTTTGGTGCAGAAGAAAGGGTGGTGTGCCTTTTGGGATGGGAAGGTGCATGGGGGGTAGATGGATACGATGGATAGATCATGCGGGTGGGGAGTGAGTGGTGTTTGTTTTTGCTTGTGCAGATGGTCGTTGAGGGTAGATGTGGGAATAGGATGGAGGACCAAGGAGCCTGTTTATGGATCCGGGGTGAAGAGGTCCTCATAGAGTGAGCAGTGAGGAAGATCTGTCTTCAAAGAAGATGACCTTTCAGGTTCACAGTTGTGCCAAGATCCTGGCAGGATCATCAGTAGGATCATCCAACAAGGCTTGCCATCCTTCAATTTTCAACTCTTTCTTCGACTTTCGGTGTCTTCTTCAGGATCATCCCATTGCGATCTTGGGTTTTGACCGCGTGTGACTCTTGTTATACTCAGATTCTGACCGTTGTCGTCATGAGTCAATGAGATCGAGTCAATGAGATCATCCAAGTACCAACCATTACGACTTTGCTATCTTTCAACTCTCTCAGGACCCTCCACTCAACTGCCCATTCGATTTCATCCTCCACTCCACGTCTCTCTTCGAATCATCGCTTCTTTCGCTCGGAGGATCGGAGCCCACCGGCTCGCGTTCCGTTTTCACGGCGCGGTTCGTGGCGGCTCGGCGCGGTCCGTGGCGGCTCGCAGGTCACCGGAGAGTTTGTGCGAGAGACCGTCTGTTTGAGCCCTGGTGCGATGGACTCTCCACGCAAGGCCACTTGGCGAGCTGGGCGTTGAGGAGCTGTGGAACGAAGAACAGTGGGCCTTCCAAACCCTTTGGGGGGGGAACTCTGTTGGCTGTTGGTTACATACCAAGGCTTACCAAGGGTTTTGAGGTATGTAACCTGTGGATGTTTCTTTGGGTAACACATATGCTGTGGTGAAGCTCTTGTGGCTGTGGGTTCAAAACAAAAGCATGGAAGGTTGATATCTCTGGCGGTCGATGTGGGGTCAAATGTTGGAATGTGCTGTGGGTCGTGTTTGGCCTTTCGTGCTGTGGAAGGCTTGAGAAGTTAAGAGAATTCAGCTTGCAAAGGGTCTTTGGTTTCGATCCATCTCCACGTCCTGGCCAAGAGTTCTTTTTGCAGGGTGCCTATAGTGCCCATCCTCTGAAACTAGTACTGTTGTGCAAGTTTCCAGGGTCTTCGAAGGATCGTTTTGGGCTGTTGGGGTGCCTGAGCGCTCACAAGCACCCAGCACCCAAACTGACAGGTCCTCCTGCAGCTTCCGCCAGCTTGGGGGGAAGAGAATCGGTGAAAGGCCAACACATCAAGTACTGGTATGTGTTTCAATTGTAGGACCTGTAGGACAACTCTTGATTATATAGATGGGGCACCCTTGGTTTCAGGGCACCCTGGGCCATCAAAGCGGGAGCCTTAATCTGGCTCAGTTGGCTTTCTCGACCTGAACAAGGAGGTTCCTTTTTCTTCCGGTTCCTTTCCGTGTTCCGCCCGACCATCTGATGACCTGCAGTGGCGATGTGAACTCATTCCCGGTTTGGTCTCCCCCCGCAGTGCTCGGTGCTGACTGGGACGATAGGAATGACAAGCCCACCACAGGGAACCAAACAGCCTCCGGGGGGGCAGCACTCCGCAGCACACGGGGAGGGATCATCCTTTGTGGACGGCACGCGGAAACACGGTTGGGTAATACGTACTGCATGGAACTGCAAGGGTTCCAAGTTTCTTCAATCCTTATTTGATGCAAGACAAGAGAGATGTTCCCGGGTAAAGGTTACAAAGAGAATTGAAAACACTTTGAACCCTTCGATGGGACCCATTCCGTCGTTGATGCTTAAGATGTCAATGTGACCAGCTCACATCACCAACACCAACTTGTTCAACAAAGCGAGGCGCATGTTCGTGCTTGTGTAGTACTTATGGTTTGATCACGGGTTTGAACATCAACACCTTCTCCGCGCGCGTTTGGTGCGCAGAGTCTCCTTTCCTACTTGGGACTCCCCAAGTGTGGAACAACCTACCACAACCATTCATGGTGGACCCCCCAAATTCTCGTGGCTTTTGCATGGCCCTGGGCCCTCAAGAACTCGCCTCAGGACTGCACCGAGCTCCGTGTGATCTTGGCCAGTGAGATGACGAAGGACGCCCGGTCTGTGTGTGGGCGACGAAAGACCGGAACCCTGATGGGATGGTCAAAGATAGCCCAGATACTATGACGACTGGTGGGTTTGTGGTCGTGGTGAAAGGTAGGCGTGGTCTGGTTTGTTTGCTTATTACATGGGGAGCGTTTTTTTCAACTCGTGAAGACGCGTCGATTCGTTCGGGGTGTTTGTTCGGAGGGTCCCCGGACAGGGCAGAAGAGGTTTGAACTGAAGGAAGGGAAACAAAGGGCGATGTGGCCATGCATGCAGGGATCAAGGAATTCCAGTAGGGATAGGTATTAGTTATAGTTCTCCTAGGTTCCCAATTGATCTCTAGTGAGTGAGGTAAACAAAACGCTAACATAGACTAGATACTGTCTTGTGGGAGTTTGTGTTCTTTCAGTCAAGCCACTGGCATGAAGCTTCACTTAACAAAAGACCTCCACTCCACTCAACCAGCCAACAACATAACTCTTTCCGCATTTTTGTTGAACTCCACTGTGCCGAGATTTCGGCTCCACTGCCTCGTATCCCAGAGCGGGCTCTGGCTCGCATCTAGGAGCCCTTCATGACCTTCGAATTCGATGGCGTCCTGGGCTTGGGCCTCGCCAGCCTGGCTGTGGACCCCGAGTTCAGCCGCTCGCCGAGCAGCGAGTCGAGCGACAGCAGCGAGTCGAGCTCAGACTGGTGGAGCGGCGTTCTTGCTTTTTCGGTGTTGTTCGATTCTCAAATCGAAGACCAACGGTGGTTCTGTGTTTTTGTTTAAGTAGTTTTTTCATGTTTTTTCTTCTCTGGAGATCCAAATGACCTTGTTCGAGGGCCATCCACTGCCATGTGATGGAGGTCTTAATCAGAGTATCGCAGATCGTTTCCGTTGCTCGTTTTCGTATCACGTCGCTCTCACGTTCACCGACTTTGCGTCAGCTCTGAGGCTTCTTTGGGCAAATGTCCAAGTTGTGCTTCGGCTTTTCGATGGGAGTTATCATAGAAAACTGATTGATCATCAAAGATCAAGAGATTATGTTGTTTTTTTGTGCATTTAAACCCACCCAACTATGGTAATTATGTCATATCCCATGTTTGATTCGCATGTATCCTGAAAATCATTTGTAATCCATTTCCATTCATTACATCCCGTTGGCTCGTTTCCGGAACGACTTCGCCGAAGAAGGATGCTGTGGTGAACTGGTGAACATCTCCAGCATGGGAGTTGATATGATTTGACGCATTGTGACAAGAAGCTACTAGGGGCTCCTGGCCTTACTACTAGTAACAATAAAGCTACTATGTTATTTTCCTTTTTCTTGAGCAATGTGACTGTCCTGGTTTTTCCGTATCAGGTCACTTGGTGATTCTCCCGAACTGGGCCAATCCTCTTCTGGGGACGAGGTTTAATTCTTTCCAGGCTCCTTAAACTAATCTAAGCAATGTGTGTGTTATTTTCTTTGAACATCCTTGCGTACACACTTTTTGTTATGCTGGAAGTGAGCTTGCAAAGAAGGGTGAGCCCTCCTAACCACAGCTGTGTACAATCAAGAAATACACTGGCCCTCAATTCATCACGAGTTCAAGAAGTACACCTGCTCCGGGTGTTTGATAGTGTTGGATTCTATATTTGGCAAAAGAAGATGTGACATGCTTGTGTGCAAGGAGATCGTAGTACTTTTGCTGAAACCTCAAAGACACACTAACTTCGATGGGAGGTAGGATCAGAAGCCAGCGATGCTTAATGTTCCTTCAGCTTACTGCATTTGTCCCTTTGAAGGCCATACATTCATCCAATGTGGGCTTTCCGTTTTGTTGGATTTGCAATGCATTTGGCGATGCGGCGATGGGCGAGGTGGAGGAAGGTGATTGAAAACAGTCTTGCCACGTGAAGGAGGAGCTCTGAACGATCCAGTAGCAGCCATCCCTTTGATAATGTCCTCGGGGATGTGTTTGCATGTCCCACCAAAATCATCGGGATGTCAACGATGCTGTATCGACGAACACACACCCGAATTTCTGATTGGTGCGACTCGTAGGGAATGAGGGAAGGGGAGATTCATTTGGATCCAGCCACCGTTATTCCCTACTAAGCACAAGTCGGTTTTGAACATGTGCGTGGAGCAAACAACAGTCTTACCAGTGGCATCGTCGTCCCTTTGATGATAGGAAGCAAGCACATAGGCTGCGTGTGAACACCTCCGTATCCTACGAAGGTCATGGAATATAAGTTGTTGTTTCTCCCACTACACCGGGTGTCCAAGCTTCTATCAGAGTGAACCGCCCCTCATTTTCAAGGGCCTTTGTTTGGCTGAGGAATGGCCTCAGAGAACAGACTTTTGGATACTTCTTATCACGGAGCGACAAGGCAGCTGTCGCATGTGGCAAGAACATTCGTGGCGGGATCACGCAATATTCATGGATCAGTTTTAGCTAGAAATGTTGCATCTTTGAATCGGTATCTAGAGTGATTCAAGAAGACTTTTCTGTGAATAGTCTATGATACTCTTCGGGTCAAAAAGAAGCCTCACATGAGCACCTCGTCACTTTCTTCCCTCTCCCAGTTCTTACCCCACAGAAGAGTGATTGGTCATCAGTCGTCAGAGTCTTTTTCGACAACCGATTCGGAACTCGCTGCCTGGAATCTCACAGGGATCTCCCTGGTGCACGAGTTCCGGAAATGGCCCACCCCCCACCCACACACGAATGGAGTAATGGAATGCAAAGTCGAGCTCTTTCGGAGCTCTTTCGGTAGCAGATTGGTGAACGATTGGTGGTGGCCAGTTTTCGAGGATTTGGCGACCGAAGCTCATCCGTCCAAGTTTGGAGGGTTTGGACTTGTTCTTCTTCTCTTCGCGGACAGTGAAAAAACCTTGTAGCTACAAGGCTAGAAAGAGATGCCACGTGTTTCCAACTGATAGTCCAAACCTATAAATCCTGGATCATCCAATGATGGTCCAAGTAACTGTAACTTGTCTATATCTCTATAAAGAGTTGTCCAGAACAACCAGATGAGTCCAAACCTATAGACAACCTATAGACAATCCAAACCTAATAGTCCATAGTAACTGGTCACTTCGGTGTGTTCCGGATCAGTCCGGGCGTTCCGAGAGAGGTGCCCAGTGAGATCTCCTTCGGAGGCGCGAAGCACGACCGGTGGAAAGCCACGGTGGGTGGTTTTCGGCTGGTTTTTGGGATGTCTGGAGGTTTTCCAGATGGTTTTCAGAAACAGTGTACTTGTTTTTCATTGGTTTTCCAGATGGTTTTTGAATGTAGGAGTTGCTGATGTGGAAGATGCATGGAAAACATATCCCAATGGCAATAGAAATGGTTCGTCCGATGCGCCGATGTCCGTGTCCCTCTATTCGAAGATGGCCACGAGTGCGGATGGTGATCCTTGAGAAGGCCACACGAAGCCCTGTTTGGGCATGACATAGACCCTCCCCAAACATGGCCATGGAGGACGTTTGGTTCTTCCTTGCGGGACCCGCTTGAAATTGGAAATAGGGGGAGCTATCACGTCAAGAACTTCCCAAGGATTCGAGGCGAAGACCAATTCTCGGCGTCCCAACAGCCACGGAAAGTCCTTTCAAAGTCTTTGAAGCGGAAATCTTGGGAGGTTTTAGGGTCGGAAATCCTTCGAAGTGTTTGAAACCTCCTAACCCTAGAAGTCCAAAGACTATTGTTTGACCGGATCAAGTAAAGGAAGTTCCCGAAGTCAGGTCCCCGTTCGTCAGACCATTCTTTAGTCGACTTGACTCCCAGGGCGATTTTGGATGGTTTGGGAGGGAAGAATCATAAACCAGGAGTCACAAAGGGGTGCTTAATGGAGGTTAGGAGTGCCCATTATGCACTCACTTAGGGACCAAACACCACCCCTTTGTGACTCCAAACCTTGCCAGCTTTGATTTCAGATCGCCGCCCCGCGGGCGGTTCCCGCCGTTTTCAGCTCGTGAGCTCGGTACACCCTGAACCAAAAAAGCAGAAATGAGGAACCTCATGTGGTTCTAAGCCAGCGCCATCCTAAATGGATATTTCAAATGTAAATGGATATTTCAAACTTGTTAGTGTACATACTTATCATACAGGTCATACATGTCATGATTTATGGTTCAAGCTGGCGCGCACTGGCCCACAGCTACTGTCATAAGCAACCAGGCAGTCTGTGCAGCCACTGGTT